GTCAGTGAAGGGGTCAGTGAAGGGGGTCCATGAAGCGGTCAGTGATGGGGGTCAGTGAAGGGGTCAGTGAAGGGGTCAGTGAAGGGGTCAGTGAAGGGGTCAATGAAGAGGGTCAGTGAAGGGGTCAGTGAAGGGGGTGTAGTTGCAGCTGGATACTCACGGTGTTGTGGAAGTCTTCAATAGTAAACTCAGTGAAGCCTTCGTTAACCAGGTCAAGTTTACTTTTAGATGAAACTGCTTTGAACCTAAAGACAGAAACCCTGTTTAATAATCCCATAAATAACACAAGCACAGTTATATTTATTACATCTGAACTATTTCTGTGCAGAGGCAGATACTTTTTTAAATGTTGGTCCTTTGTGTTGAGTTCAGAGGTTTATGAGAAGTTGGAAGGTCATGTTCAGTTGAAACATTGTTCTAAGGTCCAAAGTGACTTGTGAGAACCAGAACGTAGAGATGCTAGTCAGTTTAGTTTGTGGTAAAACCTCTCACAGTGCCTAAAAGTTTATTTTCTAGCACATATTACATCTTTGACTTCTTCAAAAAGTCTTGCTTTGTCTCATGAACCCTGGATCATGCCACATCTTGTGAGCTGTGTATCGTTACACTCCTAGTACCGAAAGAAAAAAAGTGACAAAAATCAGCCTGTAAAGCTGCCATGATGAGAATAATATGCCACAAGTGAATGACGCTCCACACACCAAGCTGTACAAATCTTTTCCTACACCCACCACTACCACCACCTCCTTACAACCACGTTAGCGTGAAGCCACTCACTTCTGAAGTTCTTTGCTGTCGTCCAGAAGGGACTCGAGATGTGCAAAACCGAAGGCTCTGTAGAAACAGTTTCCATCTGGTCGTGTCTTACGAATGTACGAGTACTTTTTGTGAAGGTCCTGTGGCAAAACGAAAACTTGTTAGGCTGTAAACATAAATAAATAAAAACAAGTGATATGGAATGTTATGGAATATAACTGGGAGGTGAATGCAGATGTGGGTGCAGCAGCAGACTGACCTTGATCTTGAGCTGATAAACCGTGTCGTCCTCGGCGTATTCTTTCTGCAGCACTGCCAGCTCCTGTCTCTCTGATACTAAGGGGTTAGTGTTCGCTATCTGCACAGACACAAATATATCTTGTGTTAAATCTCAGAACAGGCATGATCCAGTTAGGGCTGCAACAACGAATCGATAAAATCGATAAAAATCGATGATTAAAAGCGTTGGCAACGAATTTCGTTATCGATTCGTTGTGTCGCGCGATTATGCATCTTTCACGGCGCTGCAGAGCCGTTTCGTTTTGTTCATGAGCAGTTCATTGTCAATGCTGACTGACTGAATAAAGTTTGCAACAAAAAAAAAACTGCAGCGCGAGTTGAACAGAGCGAGGGGGGAGTAGAGCAGAGTCTGTTTTCAAAGGAAATGTAAGTAAATTTTACAAATGACCAACGCAGCGAAAACTGTTCGACCCAAGTCCTCCAAAGAGTGGGAGAACTTCAAAGACAAAAGATGAGAAGCATGCCGCTTTGAAAATCGCCGACACGACACGGGAGAACCACGGAGATGAAACGTAAACATGTCAGAGTCACGAGGAGGAAGGAGCTGCAGCTGATACAACATGTCTCACTCCCAACTCATGTGTTGCAGGTGAGTCTCTACAATTTAACACATTGTTCTGTTTCAAGTGAGAAAACGTAACGTCAGTCTGTCTGGTAGATGAAGCTGCTGTTTATTTATCTGATTAATGACGGTGATAGAGAACGTGTGCGTTACTTTTTATTCAATTTAATTGGTACAAGCAGTGTTTAAATGTGATTTATAAATAAATCTAACACAAAGATAATAATTTAATGATTAAGCTTCAACTTTTAATTTGCTGGCAAAGTCTGAAAACACTGCGTGTATGGCAGGATGATTTGCATTTAAACAGGAATTAAAGTAATTTATTACACCTACTCAAATGTGTGTAATTAAGT